ATGGGGGGAATGTTGGGGACTGGAGAGCAGCATGTAGCACTGTGGACATTCTGGGCAATGTTGTTGCCTAACAGCCAATCCTGGAGCAGCTGCTGTAACTTACACTGGCCCCCAGGGCTGGCTTAAGTTTCACAGGGGGCCACTCGACAGAACAGCCCAGGATAAGGAGGGTGCAAGGTGGCTTAAAGCCACTATGGCCTACTTCTCCGGGGGTGCAAGTTTGGTGCTGTGCTTCTTAGAGGTACAGCACAGGCTCTCACCCCATCTGTGTATACCCACATATAAAGGGATTTAGAACAGAGCGAAAAAATGTTTTTTCTACAAATCCAAGGTTTCCATAATAGCAACCTGGGCTATTTCTGAAGTAAATAAACAACCAGCAATATTGACTCTGATTTAACAATGTATTTAATACTGAAAAACAAAAGAATACAGAAAATAAATATTGGCACTAAAAAGAATGAGAATGTCATAATGGTGGGGTTGGCTTAAGGCTTGAGGTAATGTGCTTTATCGGGGTCTGAGTTCTAAAGCACACGAATGAGTTGTGCGTTGATTGGTTTGTGCAGACCCTGCTGGTGCATACTAAAGCTTTAATGTAGTAGTGGTTCAAACAGCACTATGTTAAAGCACACCAGCAGGGTCTACACGGACCAATTAATGCACAACACCTTAGTGTGCCTTAGAAATCACACCCCTGTGGAGTGCCTGTATGATTCATTCTTACATACATATATTATTGTACATGATGTGAATTTAAAATTTTATAAGAGCACAAGATGGGCATCAGGCGATTATTTATTTAGATTTCTAAACTGATAGAAATACATTTATTACTTTCATTCAGTTTTTTAAACACTGAAAGAGTAGTCTTGCTCTGGAAAGTAACTATAAAGATAAGAGCCAGCTGAATAATTTGTTGCAAATGTTGACTTTTTTTTCTGGATAATTTTGTGCCTCAATTTTCTATTTGACTAACTCTGATAAGAGTGGCACCCCAGGTTCTATATTTTTCTTTCACTGATTTCCATATCAAATTTGCTCAGCTCGCAGGAAGAGATTTTCTCTTACTATCTACCCAGCAAACTGCACCTGGGATCTGAAAATCATACATCAGTGTGCCCTCAGTGACACCTGTACAACCCTGTTTGCCAGCAGTGGATTTACACAGGTGTAACTGATTAGAATTGAGAAAACAATTCTGTTGATGCATAAGAAAGGCTAGAATCCAGCTCACTCTCTCTTAGCTGTGTTATCTCTGCAATGCAAGAAGAATTAAAAATAAACATTTATTTTGCTTTCAAAAGTCTACACGTATTCCTTGGAATACCCTCAGGGTGCAGATGGGTTGGAGTAAAAAGATACCATTTTTACACAGTCCTTTTCACAGACATCCCATTTTAAAAAGCATGTTTAAAATCCTGTTTCAACCACCTTTTGCCATAAGCCTAGTAAGTAAAAAATACTGTGAATCATGCGATATGCAGTGTAGTTGTTACATGCTATAATAATAATGAGCATGCCAGTAAACAAGCAAATAAGTTTGTTTGTTTATTGTTGGATGCTACTTACTGCAATAAAAATCACTTAGCGGTTGCTGAGACAGACCCACTTTACACAATATTACTTTCCAACATAGAGTAGCTGAAACTTGGTTTCAACACTGGTGTAAATTGGGTAACCCTTGAAAAGGTAGAGCCCCAGGAATACACTTCTAAAAAGGCTTTGGGGTGTACAAAAGTTGTGCTGGAACATGGAGTGTCTTCGGTGCCAGACACTCACTCCAGCAGTGAAATCAATCCTGCAATCTACAGCATTAAAGTTGTAAACTCACAAGGCTCAGGAAATGCAGAGATAAGATCACCTCACTCTGCGCTCCTCTAATCCCTCCCTATTTGCTGTCCTCCTCTCTCTTGCTGGTAGCTCTTGCCACTCCCCTGCACGGAATTCGTATATGCAAGGGCGGCAGAGGGTCTTTGATTAGATTAGTCACATAATAGTAGGCTATGGAAATACTGGGGAAATATTGATTGGACTAACATGGGTTAACCAGGCTGAAGTTTTAGACTATTTGTATGGTACTTGTTATAACTTACATGGGAAAATGGATATGAGAGGTTCTGCAGTGCCCTCTATGGTTATGTATACACTACAAGCTCAGGGTGTGAGTCTCAGTTCACATGCTCTCCTCTGCGCTTACAGGTAAATACTCATTACAGTCACTGTCACATGTATTGAGAAAATATATACGCTGCGGAGTTATTTCAAATTGACTGCCCCCATCCCTATCTTATTTTGAAACCAAGTGTTTTGCCTTGTCTACACTGGGTAGTTCTTTCAGTTTAATTTAAGGTGTGAATTCCAGCTGCTACAGTTGTACTGGTGTATGAGGGGTATATACCGCACAGTGGCACTGAAAGGCTTAGCTGGAGCTAGAGAGCTTAATGAAGGCACCTGCTTGTATCTAGAGGATGGGCCAGGCCCAAGTGAAGACAATGCCCAGCTGGGGGAGGAGCTGAGTGGTGAGCATAAAGGAAGGAAGCCTTGATGAGAAGAGGGCTTCAGGGAGAGAATAGAAGAAGTCTGCAGTTCCTCCTTGACTGCTACAGAGTGGAGGAAAGGCCTAGAGAGAGGCAGAGGTACAGTAAGCCCTGGAAGGAGCTGTGGGAAAGGGGCTGAAAGAAAGCCAAGATAGGAAGAAGTCCAGAGAAGCAGTGAGAAGTCAGGGGGAGCAGACCTTAGCTGCTCACCACAGGGCATCCAGAGGAGAGGAAGGAGATGGGTTCCCCTACTGGCCATTGGGAAAAGTGGCGCTGACACCAGGGGGAGAAGAAGGACTGCTGAATTTGGAGCTGGGCCACCTGGGAGAAGGCCCTGAGAGGTATCGCTCTATGCAAGAGCAGGAGGACAACCCTGCAGATCCTGGGAATGGATGAATAGACAGCAGAGGAGTGAGTCTGGCTAGGGGTGAAGAGTTATGTTTTGCTGAGTTTAGTTTACTGGACTCTTTGTTTACCCCCATTGGGGTAGGACTAAGCATGATCTGAGCAGAGGGCTGAGTCAGGAGAACAGGCAGACAACTGCAGGGCTGGGCCTGCTGTCAGCCGGGGGCACTAGGCAAGGAGTCTGCTACTCTACACCCAGCCAGGAGGAGGTGTGGTAGCAGTGAGTGCATTCTCCCACACAGTTTAGCTCCCCAGGTGAACACTGGTAGAAGAGTGGCTTTTTTCAGTGTAGTTTATGTCCCTGGGGAAGGGGTTTAAACTAAGCTGCAAAAAGCTACTTTTATACCAGAATAAATGTCCCCTGGGGGTTATAACTATATCAGTGTAACTGGTAAAACGTCCCCATGCAGACAAACCCTTCCTGCTGAATGAGCCCTCTCCAAGTCACTTACAACCCTGTGCAATTAATCCAAGAATCACGGTTTTGCCACAGCATCTTCCCACGTGGTGAGGCACTCGACATCCTACTCATCTGATCATAGGGGCTTAGTGAATCCCCACCCTGTCTGAAGAGTGAATTCCTGGGCCCCAGCAGTGTGGGGTGGGCTAGTGAATTGCTGCCTGTCTGATAGGTGAACTCTCTTATTGTCAGTGGGGCACATGCAGAACAGAGGGCTTGCTGGGGCTAGGGCATCACATCCTTTACAAACTGGGAAATGGCACAGGGAACATTTTGTCTTGAGGAATCACCAAGGAATTGGCCTTTTGCCAAGCCAGTGCTGTCTTATGGTTCGTGTTGCAGCTTTCCGGAGGATGTGCTACACACTGACAGTTCAGGCTTCTGTGTCTCGTCCTTTGTACTTGCTGCAGGCGCGGTCAGCAATGTTCTTGCCCAAAGCTTGCTGACCATGAGACTCCTCATTCCCCTCCCTGACCATGAGACTCCTCATTCCCCTCCCTCAGCTTGTCCTTGGAGCAGCTGCACTTTTTCCGGAACTTAAAAGTGTGAAGAGTGGTTTAACCCTTTCCTGGAGAGGCACAAGCTGTGAATAGTGGTGAAGTTTCACAACCTGCTGATAACTGATACAGGGAGCAGGCCTGTTGACTGCACTTATGCAGTCACTGTTCATACACTATAGAGCCACATTTTAAAGGGTGCGTTTGAACTACCTGATGCAACAACCTTTAGCCACCACATTAAGTTAAATACTGTAAGTCACAATAAGCAGTTTTATATGCTATATTAATAATAAGCCCTTTACACCAGTGGTTCTTAACCAAGGGTACACGTACCCCTGGGGGTACACAGAGGTCTTCCAGGGGGTACATCAACTCATCTAGATATTTGCCTAGTTTTACAACAGGCTACATAAAAAGCACTAGTGAAATCAGTACAAACTAAAATGTTATAGACAGTGATTTGTTTACACTGCTCTATATACTGTACACTGAAATGTAAGTACAATATTTATATTCCAAGTGATTTATTTTATAATGATATGGTAAAAATGAGAAAGTAAGCAGTTTTTCAGCAATAGTGTGCGGAGACACTTTTGTATTTTTATGTCTGATTTTGTAAGCAAGTAGTTTTTAAGTGAGATGAAACTTGGGGTGACTCAAGACAAGTCAGACTTTTGCAAGGGGTACAGTAGTCTGGAAAGGTTGAGAGCCACAGCTTTAGACTAGCAAATAAGTGGTTATATTTATTGTTAAATGCTACAGGGGGCACAGGAAAGGATCCTCCCACTGATAGGGCCCTTTTGTGTTTCTACAGCCTTGGATCTGGCCAAGGGAGAAATCCTCCGGCTTCAGCTTTGCACACAACAGCTTATGTTGTCCAACAAGGCCCCCGGCATGGGGGTATATCAGGCATGGGGGTTGGGCCAGGAGCAGGGCCGGCTCCAGGGATTTGGTCGCCCCAAGCAGCCTCCCCCCCAAAAAAAGCTGCGATCGCGATCTGCGGTAATTCGACGGGAGGTCCTTCACTCCGAGCGGGCGTGAGGGACCGTCCGCCGAATTGCCGCCGAATAGCTGGACGTGCCGCCCCTCTCCGGAGTGGCTGCCCCAAGCAGCTGCTTGGTAAGCTGGTGCCTGGAGCCGGCCCTGGCCAGGAGGGGTGTTTTGGAGGTAAGCAAGGGCAAGACTACAGCATGTAGTGTTGCAGCTAATATTGGTGGTTCTTCCACCCAGAGGCAGCTGGGGACAGGTTGCCATAATTTAGGCAGGCCTGTAGGGCTACCCAAAATGCTCTGGGGGCCAAACTCTGCAGCAGCCCAGATAAGAAGGGTGCAAAGATAGTTTAAAGCTCCCCCAGCCCCCACTGGGCTTTGTGTTCTGTCCCGCATAACAAAATCTGTGGTGTAATAGATCAGGGGGAGGGCGGGAAGGAGAGGGGGGACCAGTGAGACACAAGCTAGACATTGAGGAAGCAACTGGCAATATTTCTTATTCTTGAGAAATATCTTTAGAATAGTTTGGTTAGATTTTTGCTGGCAGTTCTTTGTCAGTAAGGTCCATGCACTTGTTTACAAATTCCCAAGTTAAAATCGTATTCGGTATTTGTGGATACCACCCAACAATTCATCCTGTGGAGTAGTTTAATATGTGCATGCAGGTGGTGCATCTTGTGCCAAACCACTTCAATGAGCTTCCAGTCTGGTGATCTGTTAAGACAAAATTGCTTAATGAGAATAAGGAATGCTGCAGTGATTGCTAACACATAGTAATGGTATGCTGGCTATATACTCACTGTGGTGGAATTTTTATCCATTTTATTCTTCCTTCAGTGATGAACGCAGTGACCAATGTGTATTTAGGCCAAAAGGCCACTCATCTGTAACAGAAATATTAGGCACCTCAGGAGACCAGTCATGATGTTTTGTGTGCTTTTATTACATTAACAATATTTATTGAAAGCATGAACAGCTGTACCACTCCTAATACTCCCATGGAATCCTGACTGCATATGAATTAGGTGGTACTCACCTTGAAAGAATCTGCAAGATTTTTAGTTATTTTCATACCATCTTACAAATGGGACTGGTTTCCTTGCTGATTTCATTCTTGAAGAAGTCAGTTTTCATGATTCCTGCATGATCACATACAGAATGCTAGTTAAGAATTCTGATGATTTTCATATAGTGTTATCAAATTGTTTTCAAGAAGTTTAATAAGTGCATAGAAATACCTTCAAAGTTTAAGAGTGGCCCCTTTGTCTTCCGTGATGTAGTACGTGTGCACTTCCGTGGGATGTTCCAGCCCTGGTTTCATTTGAACAGGCCCCTTTCCCCTAAACCAGTGGTTCTCAAACTTTTTTTTTTGCGGACCACTTGAAAATTGCTGAAGGTCTTGGCGGACCACTTTCCAAATGTTGTTTGTACCGTTAGCTAACTATTGTAAAGCACTTTGGATAAAAGCACTATATAAAAAAACCCTTAATAATTACGGGTTATTTTGTTCTACAAATAAAAGCACACAACTCATATTTTAATATCAGTAGTCTGACCTTTCTAATGTGATGAATGTGCCCTCTCTCCACTGCTGCAACAGCCCCTGAGCTGGGGGTGGGAAGGAGCGGGGTCTCCACCTTTCTCCCCAGCCATGGCAGGCCCCAAGATGGGGCTGGGAATGAGGGGGGGTCTCTCCCTCTCTCTCTGGCCACAGCAGCCACAGAGCTGAGGCTGGGAAGGAGGGCTGTCTCTCCTCGGCAGCCACAGCTCTGGACCTGGGGAAAGTTGCCTTTTTCTCTGGACGCAGCAGCCCTGCATATTCCAAATTCCCCCCAACCCCTCTTCTCACCCCACTGCCCCCTCCCACATACCTCCTATTCCCCCCAAGGCCACCACCTCACCTTACATGTGCGTCTTCCCCTGGGTCCAGGCACCTAATTAGTGGAGCTTCATTGTTTTGTAATAGTGGCCCTTCATTGTTTTGTGTGCGGCCGCCTAGGCGCGTACCTTAGAGGGAACTATCCGCGGACCACCTGAATGGAGCGCGTGTCCCCAGACCACAGTTTGAGAACCTCTGTCCTAAAGCATATGTTCTTGTTTCTGTGTATGTGAACTGTGGTGTCATCAATGACTACATCATTCTGAAAGGTTTCCTTTTTGTGATTCATTCAAGTGCCTGTTGGATTTTCTTGTCTGCTCTCTTATCTTGTGAGTGGACAATACCTCTCCTCAGTCAAAGCAAAAATTATCAGTGCAATCGCACTTGGGAAATTAGTACAGGGACAAAACATAAAAGAGAACAAATTTTGCCATTACACTGCTCAGATTCTCATTTTATTATGTCTCGCCATAGCTTTGGCCATTCCTATATTGTGTTACATTAATAGGTGTTGTTCCAGTCCTTATATTAAATCTCCATTGAAGGTGATCTAAAACAACTGTTATCTAGCGTCCCAATTGTAACTGTAGGAAAAAATGCAACAAACATCCACAGCAACACTGATGAAAACCACAATACATTGGATATGGCATCATCCAGTGACATTGCCAGTCCAGCTCCGTTCCAGGAACGGGTAGCACAGAACATTCATCTGTCACTTTCCTGAACTGGGTCTTTATTATAAGGATTTGCTATAACTTTTCCATAAATTGGAGGCCTATTAAAGTGACTTTTGAATGGGATGTCGGGCTATAAAAACACATAAAGAGAAAGTTTCAATAGTGTGGATTATCACTACAAAACCTCAGAGTCCTCCTGCAACTCAGTCAAGGGCAGACAATATAACATGGATGCTCTGTTTTCACCACAGAATTTATTGTGACTCGCAAGTTACTCCTAATTTTTAGGTGTAGCTAAATCTGTTCAAATTCTCTTGTCAGTGATAAGGAGCAGGGAACTATGATGTCTTTAATTTCCCCACTCCAATTCTCTATCATAAAAGTTAAATTTCTGAGAACAAAGGAACAAGAAAATGGGACAACATAAAACTACTTACAGAATGTAAATGGAAGAATATTAGAGCTTAATAGTCAACCGGGGATGATGAATTTAATTTAAATTTGTGGCCATCCAAGCTCATTTTTAGTGGAGACAGATGAAGTCTAATGGATTAGGGGTTTGTTCCCAATTTTGTCATTGATTTATGGGGTAACATGGGCCAAGTGACTTAAGACAACGTTTCAAAGTTGAGACTTAAAGTTAGGCGCCTGAATTCATATCAATAAAAGTGGCATGATTTTCAGAGATGCTGAGCAGGTCACCTTGTCACCCTAATAGAGGGGTCGGCAACCTTTCAGAGGTGGTGTGCCGAGTCTTCATTTATTCACTCTAATTTAAGGTTTTGTGTGCCAGTAATACATTTTAACGTTTTTAGAAGGTCTCTCTCTATAAGTCTATAATATATAACTAAACTATTGTTGTATGTAAAGTAAACAAGGTTTTTAAAATGTTTAAGAAGC